GCCTCCCACCCCTGAGGGAAGCCCCAAGTGAAAGTTTCCCTCCCAGCTAGACCCATAGAAGGGGAAGCACCCCTTGGCTAGCTGGGATCTGGGGTAAACGTGCCTTATATTGTGTAAAACTGTGCCTCATATTTTGTATAATTTTTATCATTATGATGAATATGTTGTACAAAATGTTATGGAATTGGGTTAGTTTTGTATACTGGATTTTTAGCTTATCCTTTTGTAAATATTTATCTGTATGCCTTTGGTGTTGTTAAAAGATATTGCTAAGAATATTTCTGGAAACTTTTCCTTTGTTATCTATTAGAATATTTACCTATATATATATTGAATAAGAAATAATATGTATATTATAATTCAATAAACTGTAAATAGTTAAGAGCATTGGTGTGGAATTGACTCTATAGAGGAAAAAGGGACCTGCGCTCAAATCACCGGTGTCCCTCTCACAGCACTGCCACCTGCCTCATCTATCTCTTCCAATTGAGGACGAGCATACCCTTGGGTGTTCCTGGGTTACAAGTCTGTTTATTCTTCTCCACAGTAAGTTCCCACCACTTCCTTGTCTGTCTGCTTTGACTTGTCTTTCTTTCCACAAAGTTTGTCTTTTTGTTCTCCCTCAAACATTGTGCCAGCCTTCTTGGGCCCGAGTCAGTAATTTAGCTCTGTTCTCTCTTTCTTTTTGTCTTTTTCTATGTCTGTGGTTTATTAGTTAGTTGTGAAGTCTAGTCTATTCTTTCCACCATTATTTGTTCAAAGCCCTGCCTACATTCAGTCATCACCTTTAGTTACATTTCCAGCTTTTTCATCTTGTCCTTCAGGAATGCCATCAAGTGACATATATGGCTTATGCTAGGCATCCACTTGAGGATGATACACATCCTGTAAATTTCAGACCGTCATCCTTTCCCTCTTACACATGGAGACTCCTTGATTAGTGTCAGTGGGTACATCTAAACATGCTATAAAGTGATGCAATAAAATCGGCATGCAGTTAGTGCTGGAGTCAGCTACTTCCAGGCACAGCATATGCATGTGTGCCCAGGACTGCAGCAGTTTGAGCTGAGGTGGAGCAGCCCTGGGCTGGCAGCAGGCTCAGGAGGTCAGTCCTGGGCTTTGGATGGTGATGTTGAGCAGTAAAGGGGCTAGCTGGGGCACAAGAATGCAAAATTGTGGGGCTGTGTGGCAGGCAGCCCCTGCATTTTAACACCATCATGCCCTAACCAGCCCCTATCACCATCTACACATGTATTTTGGCTCAGTAAATGACTCCTCCATAAGACAGTACTGTCCCCAACATTTTACTGCGGAACTAATTAGTCAGCTTGGCAGTAAAGTGCATGTGTAGATGTACCCACAGTTGCTTTCTTTTATTTATTGATCAAAGGAAATAAATGCAGGGAGAATAATTGAGATGGCTTAGACAAGATGTTAGGGAAAATAATTTTTTTACACATTTTTGGGCAAAGCACTTAGACATGAGAAGTAAACGGTCTTCATTTAATTTTTTAATTTAAAATGCTGGTGTATTTAAACTTCATTCTTTTATAATATTTACTCTGTGAGAGGCTACAAGGAAACGAAAGTGAATTTACTCAGAAGCTGATTCTGTTCAGTTTTGTTTCTCGTCGTTGTCTTGTCCAAGTGAAATTTGACTCCCCAGAGTATTTAAGTTTCCTTTCACAGCAGTTGAAGATACCATACAGCATCTAGCACTAGTATCTCAAAGAAAGCAAGAGACGAAATCTGTGGTAAGTGAACTTTGCTTCGTATTGTTGCCTATGTTAATCAGTGCAGTAAAGTATGAAAAGAAATGAGGGAGCATTTAAATGGAAAAAGTGCCGTTAAAATAAGTGATACAAAAGTCCACAGAGGGACTGAGGAAATCCTAAAACTTTTCAACAAATGAAAAACAAGACTGCAGTTTATCCAGATAAAATATGGGGTTTTAAATGTCTGCAGAATTTGAGAGAGATACTCCTACTAAAAATTCAGTAGGTGTTTTGGGCTCTCATGTCAGTGATCACTTCATTATGACTGCAATAAAAGAGCTATGTGGAATTTTTTGAGTCATGGTGTAGCACAGTGTGCCATAAGATAAAAACAAAGGGGTTAAATACATTTACTTATACCCTGAGAACAAGTTAGAGAAGCATATAGATGGTCAAATATTGCTACTGGATTTTTCAAGGCTGCTGGATAATTTTGACCATCAATAATAAGAGGTGGGACAAAACTGGGATCTCAAATCCCCAAATACTCAAATTGTGGCTACTAGGGGGCCAGCCCAAGGCACTGAGAATGGCCCCAGGCTGGCCCCCTAGTAGCCCATGTAGGGCTAGGTTGGAACTGTGCTCAATACCCCAGGCTAGAATGCAGTGAACCCTGCTGGCACAGAGCATGGGTAATGAGGGGAAGTGGATCGGCGGGGGGAGGAGGGAGGTGGAAGGCAGAGCAGAGCTTGGAGGGGAGGCAGGAAGGGGGACCAGAAGATGCAGGGGAGGGGAAGGGAGGGGAGGGAAGGGT